CAATTTATATCAGATATCCAAGTAGAAATCCTTTGTGTGTGAAGTAAAGTTGAGGCAGCTAACTATAATGCCAGCTCTAGTTTTAGCCTAACGTTCCCTCCTCCCCTCTGCTCTACACACTCGAATCCTTAAATGCTGTCCTTTTTATAGCGAAAGTGAACCTTTCATTTGAACAAATGTCTAAGAGACAAAGTGAATCTGATTTATTAATGCTGTGCTCATTTGAAAACTTTCACATTTTTAAATTACAAGCATGGGTTTATGCCAGGATTTGTTAGAATTTTTCTCTGTGGATTTTTAGGAAGTTGGAAGTATAGCTGTTTTAGGAGTCTTCTTTGTATAATGAGTTTTCGATCTGAATAACGAAGAGTTTTCAGAGCAAGGAGTTCTTTGCCATCTCAAAAGGCCCACCCCGCAGGACACAAGACTGTTAACATCAGAGGTTTTGAAAACAATCACTGACCTACTGAACATTTTGCAACTATTTGCATACCCTGACTTTTTTTCCATTTTTTCTCATTGTGGTAATATACACATAACATAAAATTTACCATCTTAACCATTTTTAAGTGTACAATTAGATGTATTTGTAATGTTGTGCAGTCATCACCACCATCCATCCCATAACTCTTCTCATCTTGCAAACGTGAAACTCTGTCCCCATTAAACAATAAATCCCAACCACCCCCCACCCCCACCCCAGCCTCTGGCAACCACCATTTTACTCTCTGTCTCTGTGACTTTGATTACTCTAAGTGCTTCATATCAGTGTAATCATACTGTATTTATCTTTTTGTGACTGGCTTATTTCATTTAGCCTAACGTCCTCAAGTTTCATCCATGTTATAGCACGTGTCAGAACTTCCTTCCCTTTTAGAACAAGTAATATTCCACATTTTGCTTATCCGTCTGTCAGTGGACATTTGGATTGCTTCCATGTCTTGGCTACTGTGAACAATGCTGCTATGAACATGGATGTACAAGCGTCCTTTCCAGATCTTGCTTTCGGTTCTTTTGGGTATATACCCAGAAGTGCCATTGCTGGGTCCTATGGTAGTTCTATTTTTAATTCTTTGAGGAACTGCCATGCTGTTTTCCACAGTGACTGCATCATTTTACATTCCCATCAACAGTGCCCAAGGGTTCAAATTCCTCCACATCCTAACCAATGCTTGTTATTTTCTGTTTTGTTTTTTTTTGGGGGGGGGGTAATAGCCATCCTAATGGGCGTGAGGTGGTACATAAATTGATTTTTGAAATAAGTCATTTCCTGCTTGTGTCCACTGATTTTATGGACAGTTCTCATAGGACAGTAGCATCTGACAGAGTGATCGCTCATTCTTGTTCTCCTGGCTTTTGTAACCCACACTCCAGTTCCTTCCTACTCGCCAAGTCGCTCCTCTGTCTCAAACCCAGGCTGCTGCTCTGTCCTGCATACTGATACGAATATATCCAGTATTAACCACTTGGTTGTCTCGGAAGCATTTCAGACTTTAACACAAATACTTGGTCTTCCCTCCTCCAAAGAATCTTCCTCCTCCTTCAGTTTTTCTGTTCAAGCAGGAGCCTAGAGCTATTCCTATGATCTCTCGTTCTCTGCCACGTAAACCCCAAGCAAATTGTAGGTTGAATCCTTTCTATCCACCAAATCAAATCCATTTCTATCTCCAGAGCCAACTTTCATAGCCCAGGTCACCCTCAGTCTTGTCTCTTGGCTGGTCTTGCAGGTTCCACTTTAACCTCACTTCGGTCCATCCCTAGCACAGTAGTTTTTCCAAAGAGCCGTTCTGTCTCTCACCGCTTAAAAGCTGTTGAAAGAATCATGTCCAAACTCCCTGCTTTGGCCTATCAATCCTTTATCACTTGGCCCCGGTGTATCTCTCCAGCCCCATCGCTTTCTTCTCCACCTGTACCGTAGGCTTCAGCCTACACATGGAATGTCTCAAATGTGCTTTGGCACGTGGTACTTCTCCCTAGAGCACCCTCCTCTCCTTGGGCCATATAGGAGCCACTCCTCCTTCCCCTTGCTGTTTTCACTGGGCTACAGCTGACTTTCCTTCAGAGTCAACTCGGGCATCTCTCTTCAACGAACCCTCCCCAAGCCTTGGGTGGGTGCTGTCAGAAATGCATTCAGCTCTGACAGAAAAGCCGCAGTGTCTTAAACACTTGGGTGTGTTTTTGTGTTTTTTCTCACATAAGGATAGGCAGTCCAAGGAATATACAGGTCCTCAAAGGCCTAGCCTCTACCTGTCTTTCCACTCTCCATTCTTAGTATGTTGGCTTATCACAAGGTGGCCACTACAACTTTGGACATTGTCCATATTCAAGGAAGGAAAAAAAGGAGAGTGGGTGGAGATGGCTATGTCTGAACCTTTCATTATGAAGGCAAAAACTTCCCCTTCTCACTAGCCAAAAATAGACCTCATGACTGTCCCCTAGCTGCAGGGGTGGCTGGGAAATCAGGGAAGGTGACTGTCATGGTTGGCATGGAACATTTTGGCCCCAAACCGAATCCCAGCAAGGAAAAAGTCAGGAGTGGGTACTGGCAAAGCAACTGATTCTGCCTGAGAAAGGTGACCTTCTCTGTGCTTGTCCCTATAGTAGCAATATCATATTGTCACTACAAGGTCATATAGCAGCATCTCTCATTAGATCATAAATCCAGGTGGGCAGGGACTGTGTCTTGTTATTCTTTGTACCCCTAATGCCTGACACATACCTGATACAAAGGAGTTGCTCAATAAATATCAATTACACAAAACAACAGATGAATGTATATGTGTATTTAACATGTATATTTTGAATTAATTTTCCAAATGTCTATGACAGTTGACCACTGAACAACACAAGTTTGAAATGGAGGAGTCCACTTAGACATGACTTTTTTTTTCTTCCAATCAATATAGTATAGTACTGTAAATGTATTTTCTCTTCCTTATGATGTTCTTTTTTTCCTTATGATTTTCTTTCTAACATTTTCTTTTCTCTAGCTTACTTTATTGTAAGAATACAGTATATAATATGTATAACATGCAAAATATGTGTTAATCAACTATTTATGTTATCGGTAAAGCTTCCAGTTAATAGCAGGCTATTAGTAGGTAAGTTCAGGGGGGAGTCAAAAGTTACACACGATTTTTTTTTTTAAGATTTTATTTATTTATTTGACAGAGAGAGACACAGCGAGAGAGGGGACACAAGCAGGGGGAGTGGGAGAGGGAGAAGCGGGCTCCCCGCTGGATCCCAGGACCCTGGGATCATGACCTGAGCCAAAGGCAGACGCTTAGTGACTGAGCCACCCGGGTGCCCCTACACACGAATTTTCAATTGCTCCCCTAACCCCGTTGTTGTTCAAGGGTCAACTGTACATACCTAGGGAGTAGTTAGGATTTGGGGCACTTCTTACTGGTGCTACCTGGGCTTTTCTGCCAGAAGATTCTGAGAAAAGGTTTGTTGTTTCAGTTTCAAAATTGCATTTTGGACTTTGAATAATATGCGTGTAAGGACAAATGACATGAATGTTTAGCAAATGGTATTTGTAGTCACACTGTGTCTCTGTGCCTCAGGTCTGTGAGAGTTTTATTTTTCAGAAGTGTAATAAAAAATTGTTACTAAAAAGTCTATTGCGGCAATTCCTAACTCTGTTTGCTATTTAATGATTTGGGTCTATTATCTCAATAAAATCATTTGATTTAGACCCAGCTGTCAGTCAGGACACAATTTCTTGGAAGCAGTATCACTCAAAGATTAAACTCAAACCCAGATCATAAACTTCTCGTGGGATTGTCAGTGACCCTTTCAGATGGAGCCCCACGTGGGAGGAACCTGCCCAGGCCCTCCTAGTTAATTCATCTATCTCTGGTTCTCATTTCAGCATTTTGTAGAGGTACTTTGCATGAGGGGGCCTAGGATCTGTCTCATAGAAATAGGAAGTGTGAAACAGTACACCTGATCCCTCCATGCCTCCTCCCAGTAGATGTGGTAAAAGCCATGGCAGGACTTTTTTTTTTTTTTTTAATGTAGACTTATCATGTTCCCCCAAGACTTTATGTTCCTCCTATGTGTCCATCCAAATTAGAAACCCGGGAGTCCTGGAGGCTGCCTCCCTCTTTACTACTGAATGGTTCTTAGAACTGCTTACTTGTGTCTGTCTCTGCCACTGCTCTAAGTGTAGGTAGGTCCTTATCTCGTCTCCCATGGATTGGCCAGATCCTTCCAATTGGTTTTCCTGTTTCTTATCTTAATGTTCTCAAAAAAAGTTTTCACATTTCTCTTGGACAGATCTTTCTAAAATGTGTATTCAGCCATGTCACTGCCCTGGATAAGAACTTCCACAGCCTTCCTACTGACTCCAGCCTGAAGTTGGAGCTCCTCTATCAATGGTCACATCGACCACTTTGGCTCCATCCCTGACCCCATTTCCCTCCTACTTCATGTAACTACAACCAGAAACCCCTTGGATTTCCTTTCTCACTGCCATAGCTTTGTTCTTGGGGTTGCCTTCACCTAGAATGCCCTCCACCACCCACCTCTCCTCCTTTGCTGGTTAACTCTTACTCGTTCTTTAACACTCACCTAATTTGGGAAGGCTTCCCCCCCGCTCCTCCTTCTCCCCTACCATAACTGCATTCAGCACCTGTCACTCTGTGTGGACCACACTGGCTGACAATCGCTCTATGTCTGCTCTGCTGGATGCCAGTGGGCACCCCCTGTAGGCAAGGGCACTCATGATTCTTCTCTGCGTCCTCAGTGCCTGGCACAGAATAAGCAGCCAGTTCATTTCTGTTGATTGGCTAAATGAAGAAATAGGAAGGGGAAAAGGTGGCTTGCAGACATGTTAAATAGGCTGAAATGTTTATTAACATAATTTTGACTTTTAAATGAGCATAGTGTTTCTGTATCAATATATCTATTCTTATATGCCTGTTTACTTTTATCGTGTGTGCTATAAATGCTATGTTATATTCCTGATAAAGACGTATTCTGCATTTGGTTTTTAGGTTAAAGCCATTCACATCCACTCTGACATGTTCTCAGTTCAGAATGGCTTGCTGACACCAACACTAAAGGCTAAGAGACCTGAGCTGAGAGAGTACTTCAAAAAACAAATAGAAGAGCTTTACTCAATCTCCATGTGAAGTTCAAGGAAAGTTCTTCTCAGTATAATGGACTGTGTAGCAATACTATAGTTACTCTTGAAAGTAATGAATCAGAATGATGCAGCCGAAAATGAATAAGCACGTGACCTTATGATTGAGCCTTTTCCTGTCCCAAGAGGTCTTTAACAATATTTTCTCTATCATCACTGAGTACACTTTATTTTTATTAAAATGATATTGTAACAAGCTGCTAAAAATATCACAGATGGCAATGTAAAAGACTTTTCTCAAGGACTGTGTACCACTAAAAGTAATATATTCTCAATGTTCACAGAACTCCTATTAAACATAAAGGAAAAACATAACTGATATACTGTACTTAATTATTTGTGGAATAGTAACCAGATATAGCAAATATCTAGGCAATGTGGACTACCTCATTCAATAACTGATTGTCAAAATCACAGTTAAATCAGACTTAAAAAATTAAAACTATGTGTACAGAATCATGCTAAAACAAGACATAATGCACATTCTGCGTAAGTTCAGAGTCTTTATACATGACAATTTTTACTGATGTGAAGAAGTTTTCCCTCTCATTTTTACTTTTATTCATGAAAAATGCAAGTTCGGATATTCCTGAAACAAATGTTATATTTATATAACATTTTACAAAGATCTCTCAATATATTTTCTCATTTATTAAACTCATTAAAATATTCAGGAACTATCTAGAAAAAAAATGTACAGCGACTTCAAGGATAATATGTGTATATCCATGGACTTCTTACACATGAATTCTAAAAGATGTCTGTTGGGCACAATGAATGGACCTTTGGGGAAGACTTGGGAAAAGAAACCCAGAATTATTTCTCAGGATAGGTAGCGATTAATGTACCTATGTTCCTTGCTGGGTTCTTCAGGCCTTCCATTCTCAATATGTCCATGCCAGGCCTGGGAACCCCAGTATGGCTATAATCCTGAACAAGGGGAGGAGGGAATGTTATTTCCAAAGAAAATAGGTTTTCTACAACTTAATTTTGAAGAACCTCTTCAAAATACCCCTAGAAGACTTTTTAAGTCCATCATAGCTAAATATCTCATAGGGCATAATTCCATTCATAAAATCTTTACATGCTTCTAAGCTTAACCATGGAAACCTCCTTTCTTGCATTATGTGTTTAGATACTTCTTGCACCTGAGTGCCGACAATCACATATAATTAAAGCCAGCATGGACAGCAGTTAAGTTCCAAGCTACAGACTGTGCATCTGCAGAAGGAACCGTCCCTAGGCAAGTGTTATCTTCTGTAGAGACAGGACTCTGCAAAGCAGACATGGGGATAGTGCTCACAGTCCCGAAGTTCCTCTCTGCTGGAGCAACTCCAAGCTGTAAATAAATGCTATTGGTTTAAAAAAAAAAATGCATTATCACACAGGCCTACTGGATGAATGTGCATCAGTGATTATACACTTATATTTCAGTCTTGGCAAAAGTGGATCACACCTTCATTTGATGCATTTATCCAATTTTTACATATTCTTTTGGTATATTCTTTCTGCAGACCCTCTACTTATAAATCTGACTTTTAGCATATATGCTAGTTCAATGCATATTAACTTTTAAAGGCAGTTCTGAAAAAACAAATTCTAAAAATGTCCAAGGCCACATCTATATAGCATTAATTTTTTATATTTAATGTGTGTGACTAATTAAAAGAGAAAATCATTACCTGAATTAGATATTCATACTATTTTAAATAAGGCGAGTAGTCGCTTCACATCCGAAGAAAATGAAGCCGCTTCCCGTTGTCTTTCCACTCAACCAAAATTTCATAGTTGTCTTTTGTTTCCAAAAGGATTTTGGACAAATGTAACATAAGCAAATAATTTAAAACTTATATTGATTCTATTTATACCTCACTATAGTTAGATATGATTGATTATGGACAGCTTAAACATTTCTTCTTTTTCTCACTTTAAAGATCTTCATGTGTCTTCTGGCCTTCCTGATCTGTGTGAAAAGTATCACACTTGGGCCAATAAATAGGTTACAGCAGATGTGCTGAGAAAAGTAAACAGTTGGCGCTAAATATACTGTAGGTACATTTATCTATTCCTCTGTTTAAGTCTGCTGAATTTCTTAATAAAGGAGAAATAAAACAATATGTGTTAATAGAAAAAATCTCTCTCTTGCTTCAGATTTCCCAACTTCATTTTGGGGGAAAAATTTTGTATTTCTCTAACGAATATGGAAAAAGGCTATGTACTTAGGGCGTTCACATTTATAGTGGACATCAGATCTGATATAAATCTAGAGGTATAACAGAGATCAGTTACAGAAAACATGTTCCTAAATGTTTGGACTTTTATCTGTTTTTCATTCAAATGTAAATTAGTAATGTAATTAGTAATATAAATTAGTAATTTTCACATTTTGCAAACTAATCCTGTGTATATTTTAAAATAAGATACACACCAATTTTTTTTCCTTTTGCCACGAAAGATATCTTTATATTGTATTGTAATTCCCCTCCAGGCGAGAGAGAAACTGAGGTGTGGCGTGGAGGCCTGGTTCCACATTTAGGAACTCACAAACTCACAAGTCTAGGAAATAAACATACATGTTTCCCTCATATGTGCAAGTCAAACTTTCATTCTAAGTAAAACTGCTAGCATGAGAAAAAATAGGACTTTCCATTGCAATTTTTATAGTCAGGTAATGTTTCAGCAACTTGAAAGCAGCACTTAATTTGGTTGCATTACCCATCAATGAACTGGTCATCTTTTATTTTTTCTGCAGTAAAGAAAATGAATTATTCTTTATTTTCCAAATGCATAAAGCACAAAGGTGATATAGTTATTTCGAATACAAAATACTATGAAATGAATGTAAACAATGGAAAAATGTATTTTTTGCATGAAAACAGACTACTTACGAACTTGCTTCATATCTCAGGAAAAACAGAATGAATAATCATATATAAAATTGATAACATATGTTGAATTAAGTTGCTATATTTTCTTGCCTGTTTTTATTTTAAGGAAGCATAAACATGAAAAGGAAAACAATCCTGATAGTCTGAATTTTTTCTCAAGTATGCAAACAGTCCTTTCTATGATTCTACAATTAACTGCAGTAAGAATGGGATTAGCATTTAAGCGAGGACAAAGCCCTAAAGGAGGAACTCTTGACTTAGAACAATGAATGGTCCTAACCCAGAGGCAATAGATAAATACCTGGAATACAAGCATTTCTAAACCTTGTCCCAAACTGAAAAGGTTTTATTGAGGTGACAGTGGCTTTTAGACATTCATTTGATTGATTAATTTTTCTTGTTAAGTCATTGCAACAATTGCATGGGGCACGGGGAAATGGATATTTTTTGAAGAATTGCTTATTCTCCTTTCAATTTTTAAAAATTGAGGAGATTAAAAATTACCTTTTAAATATGCATAAAAGTATCTTAACTGTAATTATATTTTTAGTTGCTTTGTTATAATAGCATGCCTATGAAATATAAAATGCATTTATGAAAACTTTTGTAAAAAAATAAAGATTTTTCATTTCTCAAAGTTGCTTATAATTACTATTTTATATATTTATATAGCATAATCCCCCTGATGTTAGCATATTAATAGTCATTGATAATCATAAACATTATATCAAGCTTTGTCACACTAGTCAGCATACTCTGCATTCTCTTTAAGGATCCTCAAACTCCAGAGATTTACAGTCCCCACCCAGAGACTCTCCTTTGCTCTGCACATTTCCTTTTACCAAATGTGTCCTGAATTTAAGTCATTTTTATACTTTTGAAAGAACAAATAACTGTATTCAAATTTTCCATTGTGATGCCCCTTAAACAGTATTTCTATAATGTCTTTTACCCACATACAAGCTAATGGTTACACTTTCTTAAAATGGTATATTCTGCCATGGCTCAGTTATGCAGACAGCCTTCTCTATAGATTTGCTATTGTCCGCCCCTCTGTTCTCACAGCTGTTAGTAGAGTTGGGGCCATTCTCATCTCTTGTCTGGAATATTACCGTTCTTTCTTAATTAGTCTTCCTGTTTCCACCCCAGCTTCTTTAAATTTCACCATCCACCTTTCAGTCAGTGTGGTCTTTCTAAATTGAAAATCTGGTCATGCCACTCTCCTGATTAACATTCCTTCGAAGACTTCCCACAGTTTCCAGGATGAAGTTCTGACTCCCTGGTTCAGCACACAAGGCCTAGCATCTCTTCTCTTGTCCCTCCCCCTTGGAGACTTGGCTCCGGTCATTCCAATCATACCAACCACTTTATGCAGTGTCCTAAAAGCATCATGCTTTTCTGCGCCTCCACGTGGCACATATAGTCCCCTTTTCACAGAATGCCATAACCTTTAATCCCCCTGCTAACTTCCACTGTGCAGCTCTTAAAACAGCTCAACTATCCTTTTATCTTAGAAGATTCCCTCTGCCCCACTCCCACTCACACATGAGTTGCTTGAGGTTGTAGCCCCAGTGCGGAAGGTCTGGTCCATAGCGGATGCTCGAGAAATATCCATTTAGGGGCACGTGGGTGGCTCAGTTGGCTAAGCGTCTGCCTTCGGCTCAGGTCATGATCCCAGGGTCCTGGGATGGAGCCCCACATCGAGCTCCATACTCAGCTGGGAGTCAGCTTCTCCCTCTCTTCCCTGCTTGTGCTCTCTCTCGCGCTCTCTGTCTCTCTCTCTGTCTGAAATAAATAAAATCTTTTTAAAAATATAAAAAAATAAAAAATAAATATCCATTTAATGAAAAATCCCCTTGGTTCTTTTTTATGCATTCATGCATAATGTTCATATGCATTAAGATTGCAATACCTGCAGATACGTTTCATCTATCACTGGGGTTTTTTTCCTTCTTGTCAAGTAAGGAAAAATAAAAACAAACTGGTTTTCAGTTGCACCTCGGAACCTATGGATAGAACCACAAACAAAACTGCTCAGTGGGTCAGTCACTCCATAAAAAGGCATACAGAAAGATTTCCTCTGGGCTCTGGGGAATCCTAAAGCCACAAACAGGCTTTGAAAATATTAAAAAAAAATTTCTTCTGAAATCTCTTCAAAATTTGGAATTTGTTTTCCCATGGAAGTTCGCAACTCCATAACTGCTCCAAACCTAGTCAAACCCATCACATGGCTGAACTGAAGCAGTGATAACAGAATTCTGAGTCTAGATATGGAAGGAGTGCAAAGGGAGATGGGAGAAGTTCAGTTTAATACTCATGGATGAATGCTTGCACTGGCATTTGTGTATTTGGGGACAGAATGGGGGGAGACAGAGAGATAATTGAATTGAGATGTGTCCACCCCACCTCATCCTTTTGTATGGTTCACATCTCCTTCCCTTTTATAGCCTGGTTCTGGGTGAAGCTTTAAACAGACCAAGTCTGTTTGTAGTCTCTTTCATCCCCTTGCTACCAAGGGCTTTGAACTCCTTTCCTTGCTCCCCCTACCCCCTGCCCAACCATGTGTTAGGAGGAACGGGGTCACGACAAACACACTAGCCAAATGCCAGCAGACTCGTGCCACCTATGCCTATCACCTGTCATAATGAACCTCACTAGGCTGCAGTTTCCTCAGCTGCAAAATGAGGAGGCAACTAGACTATCTCCAAGGACCTCTTTTGGCTCAAGAAATCATTCCAAAGTTTTTCCAGTTTTGAAACCCTATGTAGTAACTCCCATAAATCTTTACTTGATGGCATTTCTACTGGCAGAGCAGTAGAGGAGACAGACCTCTATAGGGCCACCAAAGTAGAGATCAGCTTTTGCTTTAAGCTGCTTTCCTTTTTCATTGTTTCTTCCATTTCTAGGTGTAGGGCATGGAAGGACCCAGACCTCCTACAGGTCATTTACGAACTCCCAAGTTTTTTCACAACAGCCCCCAAAGGGAGAGAGGAGAGCCTGCAGACCTGACTTGTATACTAGAGACTGCCTGTCAGCATATTATGGATATACCTAAAGAAAGGAGGTTGAAATAGGATCATTGCTTTGTATTGCAACAACACAATGAGATCCCAGACTGAAGGACCATTTCTAACACACCTCTGTATCCCCGGAACCTACCACAATGTCTAACACAGACTAAGGTGCTGAGTAAGTATTGATTCAGGTACTCAAAGCACTGTGTCTAATTAGGTAAGAATACCCTCCTTCTGTTCTTTACAAAGATAAGTTTTAATGATTACTTATACATTGAATCAACTGTCGTGACTTTCTATGAGGCTATTCTAAATTTTAAAAAATTTAGAGTGATTTCATTGTGAAAATATTGTGGCTGTATGTGTGCTATAGTCACACATACAATATTGGAGCATCACAAAAAAAGCCTTTTGAGTTTTTGTAATTTTATCTCTACAGATGCATTTTTTAATGTTGTGAAATTTTTTTTTTTTTAAATAGGAAGATGGTTATTATGTGCACAGTATGTTTATCAGATGCAGCCAGATGGTTCAACCAGTGTATGGAGAGAGGGAGGTCATTCCTACGTTCCTGCACTGATGCAGAGCAAGCGAACTGAGCCCCAAGACGGTAGGAGGTAAGAAATTGTCTACCTTGACCATAAGGCTGCCCAGATGTCCACGAGATAGCTCCTGGGCAGGGGCTAAGGGATTCCACTATCCTTAAGAAGAAATATCCTGAAACCAAGATCTTCGAATGCTCAGACTCTCAAATACCACGGCCCCGGAACTAAAGCTCATTGCTCAGGAGGATATTCTCTCCTGGTTTAATGTACTTTCGTACCTGTCTCATCTTCCCGCACTGAGTCAGGTGACGCCCCGCCGCCACCGTCCCCCTTTCGCCTCCCCTGCTAGATTCCCTATGTTCGGACCCCAAAACTCCATTACCAAGGCTTAAATGCAATGTTATAAGGAGAGGGGCTGAGCCATCAGTAGCATGCACGTGGCGGGCCCATCACACTAAAGAAAAAATGAAAGCAAAGGAGCAACCTCCTGGTTAACGAAAAGGCTCTTCCCCATTAGCTTCCCTTCAGGTGAGAAACAGGTGAGTCTGCGCCACGGGTCAGGCAACCACGCGGGCCCACTGCCAAATACCCGGACGCCACACCTCCAGGAAGGCGGAGCCTTCTTCAAGGGGGCGGAGCATCTTCCTCGTTACTCCGCTTCCCAGAAGCCATCGCGCAGCTTGGAGGAGATTAAAAAAAAAAAAAAAAAAAAAAGGGCGGGAGCGCACCGGGAGGCTCCAGTCAGTCAGGCGTTGGGGCTGTGGGCTTTTATCTTTTTCTCGCCCGCCTCCTGACGTACTGCTCTGCAGGCAGCTTCGTTGCCGGGACGCGGGCGCACTCAGACTGTAGTTTGTTTCCTCAGGAAGGCGAAGAGACAGGCTGTGGAGGCCCAAGAGGTCCCCGAGGCCGTGGGGGTGGGGTGGCAATGTGGTCACTAAGGGTCTATACCCGCAAGAAGCGGGCCGGCCAGAGGCTCAACCTAACCCCGACGCCGGACCTAGGCCCCACCGCGAAGGCAGAGGCCCGCCCAGGTCCAGGCAGAAGGCACTCTGCGCACTGTAAGCCCGGACTGGCAAGCCTGTGGAGCAGGCCCAGGGTGGGCGAGCGAAGGGCGGGGGGGTAGGGTGGTGACTAGGCCTGGGCCCAGGGACACCCGAGCGCAGCAAGCTGGCCTCCAGGGCTTTGCCCTGAAATATGCCGTCCTCTCTTAGGCCTGAAAGGAAAAGCGCACCGTTTGCAGAAGATCTCAGAGAAAGCAGAGAGCAGTGGGCAGGGAGTTAGCGGTTCTAGGCCACCAAGGTGCGTAAGCCACTAGGGCCAAGCCCATGCCTTCTGCCTCCTCAAAACTTCAGTCCTCCTTTTCCGCCTATAGCCTCTCCTTCTAAGAGTCAAGGAAGAAAATAAGTGTAATACTATTTACGATTTGGCTCCTGTTGGGACATAGACCCAGAAATTTGACTTAAGAAAGATTTATTTATTTCTTTAAAAGATTTATTTATTTATTTGAGAGAGAGAGGGAGAGAGAGAGCAGACAGAGGGAGAGAGACTCCCAAGCTGACTCTCTGGGGGAGTGCGGAGCCCCAGGGGCTTGATCTAGGACCCATGAGATCATGACCTCAGCCGAAATCTTTAGTGGGAGCTCAGATGACTGAGCCACCCAGGTGCCCCTGGAAATATTTATTTAAAAAAAATTTTTTTTAAAAGAGCAGTTTTGCCAACTTACCTAAAAGCAAGTGAGATAAAACCTTCAGGAAAGCATTCGTAGCACCAGCGAATATTGGTACAATTAACGCACTGGAGTCTACTTTTTCCCAATGCTGTCCCCAAATAGCCTTTAAGATTCTGAACAGTGTGAACTGTGAACGGAGATGTGGAGAGCCAAATCCAGACCATGCAAATTAATTGCGTTGTTTGTTTGTTAGCGCTCGGTTAAGAGTTACAGGACAGAAAAGCCTGCAAGAAAATAGCACTAATGAAGAACCTCCGGATGAGAAGATTGCTCCATTGAGTGTATGTATATTTCTCTTACGGACCTTGGATATACTTAAAGCAGAGACCAATGGTAACTGATGCGCCTCCAGATTAAAGTGTAATCAGGATTAGCTTCCTAGCGTTTTTGTAAACGTGGGTGTTTTCTCTTTAGACAGGGTCTGGAATTTCCAAGTCTGGTGGATTCATAGTCATATTTTTTGTTTGTTTTTAATTTCTGTTGACAAAAATTTGAGAAATGCCCGTTACTCACTAATTTTCTATGAAACAGGTATCTGTTAAGTTTTTCTTAGTAACTCCCTTACGTTTAGTAGCACTTAAACCATTTTAAAGCCATTTTCATTCTCATTTGAATTTCCATTAATTAGAAACAGTGTTCATTACCGTTAGAATATTATATAACTTCTTGACCTACTGTATTTAATATGGATTCTGTACAATATTTTAAAGATACATAGTAATTTGGAGAAACTCAGATTTTAAAAAATTGCTTGTGACTCATCTACCATTAGCATTAAGTAGTCATGTTCCAGAGCTTTTGCTTACATATCTCTCTAAAACATGTGTTTTGGGGGAGGGCAGTTTCAACAAAAGGCATTTTTTAAAAATGCTTTACCCCAGATTTTAACAGTGTTAAGTGTTCCTTGTGGATGTTTCAGATTATGCAAAAAAAAAAAAGTGTTTAAAAGGTTTCTTCTAAATTTTTTGTATTTCTTTACATTCCTTTTTTTCTGTGCCCTTTTTTCAATTTAGAAATTGTTATTGTATATTCCTCTAACATTAAATGGCCTTCAAAAATATGATTTTTAGTGTCTAAATAGTGCTTTGTCTTTAGATAAATATACTGCTTTGTCTTTAGATAAATATACTGTAATTTATATAACTATTTTCCTGTGGTTGGAGGATTGAGATTGGATCATGTTTAAAGTTTGATTCATGTTGGCCACTTGGCACCATTTTACCTGATACTTAAAAAGTACATATATTTTATTGAACACTACGTCTGAAACTAATGATGTACTATATGTTGGCTAATTGAATTTAAATGTAAAAAAAGGAAAAAAATACATATATTTGATAGATGAAAAGTAGCATTTATTTGATATTGCATTTCTCTGAATGCTAGTAAAGTTTACACTTTTTTTCCTCGTTGGCCATTTGTGTTTCTTTTTTTGTGAAATGCTTATTCATTATATATTGAAGATAGTTACACTTTTATACACACATGTAACAAATATTTTTATATTTTTTTGTTTGCCTTTAGTCATATTTCTGATATTTTAGATTCATCAGTCTTTTCATTTATATTGCTTTCATATTTAGAGAAAGAAGAGCCCTTCCTACCTAGGGGATCAGAAAAATATTCACCTTTAACTTCTAGTTGCTGGTTTATCCCACAGTAGTTAGTTGACTAGTACATTGCTGACTCTAAATACGTCCACGTTATTATATTTTAATATTTATTTTTAGATTTAATATTAAATACCAGATTACATCTGTGATTAGTAGGTTGAAAGAATCTATTACATATGAAACTGATACACAAAAGTTGATATTAGTTTTTATTTTCAAAATAACCAAATGAATGTGATGTAAATTATAATATGAAAATGTTCAGTCTCATAATTTGTGCTATATCTTTAATTCTTATTTCCCTTAGGAGTCAGTGACTGATGACCTCCAGGTTGACTGTAGTTCATCCAATAGTGAGCTAGTGTCAGGTAAGATTGTCAGATGTGAACTCCTCAGCTTTGTTTCTTACAAATATAAGCATCCATTTGTATTTTTGCCTCATCTTCCCATCTCAGTGGAAGAGGTGTCTTTCTCCTAGTCCAAGGTGAATCCTTCTGCCTGTACAATGGACGTCATCCTCAAAGCCTTCAAGCACACACCAGTAAATTAAAATTGAGATAAATACTACAAAAGAGATTGACTTGAGCATAACTGAGTTTAATTAGAGAGTTTAGGGAAGGCTTCCATGAGGGAATAGCAATTGAATTGAGATAGGAAGAAAAGGAGAAATTAACTATGCAAGGAGATGAGTTAAGAGCCATCCAGGCAGAGAGAACAGCATGTGCAAAGACCCTAATATGGCACTAAGCCTCCTGAGTTCAGTGAACTGAAAGAAAGCCAGTGTGGCTGTAGTACAGAGAGGAGGGGGAAATGCAATAATAAGACAAGGTTGAACAGAGAGAGGCCTTGCATAACCTTGTAGGCTATGTCAAAGATTTTGGTGTTATATTTGGAGCAGCAAGAAGCCACTGAAGTCTTCCTTAGGAAAATATATGATCACCTTGGCTGTGGTATGGAAATAAGCATGAATGGATGCAAGTAGACCAGGTGGGAGGTTATTACAGTAGGTTAGGGGGAAATGATGGCACTTTGTACTAAAAGATGACATTGGAAATGGAAAGAAGTGGGCATAATTCATGACAATTTTAGGAAGTGAAACTGACAGTTTGGCAAGTGAAGAACGAGGGAGATGGAGGTATCAAAGATGACATCTGTTTCTGGCTTGCATAACTGGATATAGGGTGCCATTTGCTGAAAAAAAAATCTTGTTTGAGGGAAAGATCATAAATTATGTTTTTAATACATTAAGTTATGGGTACTTTAAAAATGATTAAGTAGAATGCCAAATAGGCAGTTGGATATGGAGCGCTGCTGATAGAAATTTATGAGCTGTCTACATATTGGTATAATCAAAGTTATTTTTAAAAATAAGAAAGGATGCCATTAGCATACCAGAAGTACTGAGGAATTCTTAAAAGCAGATGAGATCAGACTGCTGAATATCTGAAGAGCAGAGAACAACCACTGCTGAGGTAAGAATAGCTCTAGAAACATTTGAAACAGTTGGTCAATTAATGCAAAAAAAAAAATTGTAATAGAAAGGACTCCAAAGGAATTATCAAGGTGATGGATTAAACACTACATTCTGTAACTATGTGGCCTGGTTCCTCCTCCTCGTCCCTTTCTTACATTGGAAACATTGGCCTTACAATGCTGGCTGCCAGGATAAGCCCTGGGAACTACTAAGCAAAGTGAACTAAGGGTTTGGCTCCTAAGTGTCAATTTTGGGCCTGGAGTGAGAAGCAGAAGAGAGTCTGAAGTAACTCCAGATTGCCACAAGGATAGCAGAGGGAGAAAAAGGTGAAAGAGATAGATTATGCTTATGCTTGTTAACCCGGGATAAAGACGTAGTATGACTCTCTGAAGTGGGATTTCTTTCCTTTTTTTTTTTTTTTTTAAGATTATTTATTTATTTATTTATTTGAGAGAGAGAGTGAGCATGTGCACATGAGAGAGAAGGAGCAGGAAGAGGGACAGAAGCAGAATCCCTGCTGAGCAGGGAGCCCCGTATAGAGCTCTGTCCCAGGACTCTGGGATCATGAGCTGAGTTGAAGGCAGACACTTAACTGACTGAGCCACCCAGGCGCCCCTGAAGTGGGATTTCTGATAATGGAGGCTTGTGGTGTGGACACTAGCCAGACAATTAGGACGGTGCTCCATGTAACCTATAATACCCAGAAAATACAGGAGGACATCACTGTGCAGAACACAGATTCTCAGAATGTCTCAACACTCATAAAAGCCTCCAGAAGTAGGCTGCTGTTTCAGAATTTATATGCACTGCTATACAAGCAAAGATTCTCAAGTAGAGATATGAACAGACAGCCAGGAGCAGCAAAACCTTTGAATAAAACCAGTGGCATGAGAAGAAGATAGCAGGAGGGGGAGAATGAAGGGGAGTAAGTCGGAGGGGGAGACGAACCATGAGAGACGATGGACTCTGAAAAACAAACTGAGGTTTCTAGAGGGGAGGGGGTTGGGGGGATGGGTTAGCCTGGTGATGGGTATTAAAGAGGGCATGTTCTGCGTGGAGCACTGGGTGTTATGCACAAACAATGAATCATGGAACACTACATCAAAAACTAATGATGTAATGTATGGTGATTAACATAACAATAAAAAATTTAAAAAAAAACCAGTGGCATGGAAGAGAGGCAACAAATCGAGCAAATAGGATAACTAACACCTGAGAAATAGCAAAAACTTTAAATATCTCTTTAAAGACAAGAGGCCGGGGTGCCTGGGTGGCTCAGTTGGTTAAGCGTCTGCCTTCAGCTCAGCTCAAGATCCCAGGGTCCTGGGACAGAGCCCTATACCGGGCTTCCTGCTCAGCAGTGAGCCTGCTTCTCCCTTTGCCTGCTGCTCCCCCCCTGCTTGTGCACTCTCTCTCTCTCTCTCTCTCTCTGTCTGTCAAATAAATAAATAGAACATTAAAAAAAAAAAAAAAAAAACCCCCGGCGCGTCTGGGTGGCTCAGTCATTAAGCGTCTGCCTTCAGCTCAGGTCATGATCCCAGCATCCCGGGATCAAGCTCTGCATCGGGCTCCCTGCTCAGTGGGGAGTCTGCTTCTCCCTCTGCCTGTCCCCCTGCTCGTGCTCTCTCTCCCTCAAATAAATAAATAAAATATTAAAAAAAAAAGACAAGAGTCCACTGGATCCATAATATAACAATCTGTTTTAATAAAAACTATAGTCCCTAGAAACTAAACATATCATCAAATTTAAAAACTCAGAAAATGATCCAAATATTGAAATGAATTCCGCTCAAAATCAAATTAGCTGGCTAGAAAATAGAATAGAGAAATATTTCCCAGAATATAGTACAAAAGAACTTGGGAGGTGCTCAACAAATGCATTTCCTTCCTTCTCCCCTCTTTACCTGTTTAACTTGTACTTGTTCTTCAAGAAAAAAAAAAATCAGGTGCTGTCCCTACTGGGAGCTCTCTTGACCCCTCTTCTCTCTTTCTATGTGAGTTGTTCTTTCCTGGGAATTCTGTGGTACTCTTTGTATACTTCTGTTAGGACTCAAAACAGCAGTATTATTGCTTTTGTTACTCTTGGCTCTAAAGCCATTGAGAATAAGCCCTACCTTTTATGTTCCTATCCCATGTTTGGGACATAATATAATTTCAAATACTTTTGAGTGAGTTTTATACTCTTATTAGAGAAAATAAACTAACCATAATTATTATTTTCTTAAATTGTAGTTTAAATACACAATATATGTCCTTGGTTACTAGATTTATCAAGTTGATGTGTAAAAGATAGAAGGAAATAGAGAATAGACTGTCTCTAATTTGCAAACTGGTTGTATTCTAAGACATCATTTGTTGATTGATATTTGAAACCTGGAATACTTTTTCCCATATTAATATGTAAATGGTTAGGTTTTGAACAGCCTACAGATTTCTATTTAATATATAAGTAACCATTTTAATTCTATCTTGGAATGTAGTAATTTTGCAACATGATGAAAATTAATTCAGGACTTTATATTTAGTGTGGAAGATTGAACATAGACATTTACTTCTCCCTTTCCCAAGAGAGAAGGAAAAAATAACAGACTAGATGCCTAGAGTAAGGACAAACGAAGAAACCAAACTGATTCAGGCTATAGTTTCAGGAATTAGAGGCATCATATATTCCTGGAGAAATGTGTACAGATAGTGTTGAGAATAATATTTTTGGAAATCTTTAAAAGTAGTGGTTAGATGCTTTGATCCCTTCCCCAGCACTGTGTGGTCAGGCAACTACTCTTTTTCCTACCTTGACAGTCCAGATACATTGAAGCAGAGGATCTGGACTCAGGGATGCTGTATTAAAAATGAGTAGGGGTGCAGGGAGGAGGGAAGGGAATTAACCAAAGTTTGTATACTTAGTGGTATAACTTTTAGGCCCATTATCCCACCTTATGCCACTCAGGAAAATACTTCCCAACTAGGAGACTAGAGGATTTTGCTTTTGGAATCTTCTCTGACCAGAAGGAGACCTATATTCTGGCAGTAATGACCTGGTCCCTATCTTAAATACCCTTCTGTGAATCCCACTACTTCCTAAACCCCACTCATGAATCTAGAGTTTCCAATTAACGTTTTAGTGCCTCATTTTTGAACATTCAAGAGTTACAAGGCATTTAATGAAAGCATTTAAAATAAATGGTACCACATGAAAAGAAGCTTGAAGGACACAGACAGTGCAACGAAAAAAAATTTAAAAACCATGTTTTCATTATTCTCAGGATAATGAAATAATAATCCTGAAGATAATGAAAATATGTATCCCTGATAAAAGTATGGGCTACTATGAAAAGGAGCAGCTAGAGAACAAAAAGCATTCTTAAAAAATAAAAACACGAAGTCAGAAATAAAACATTCTGTGAAAGGTTAGATGATGAATTTAAGAAAATATTCTAAAAGTTGAACAAACATCAGAAGATAAAAGATAAAGATAGTAGCAGTGGTGACACAATTGTGAGTATATTAAAAATCACTAAATTGTATACTTTAAAAGGTGATTTATGGAATATGAGTTGTATTGCAATAAAGCTATTTTAAAAAGAAAAATAATGAGAAGTTGAGTTCAGACATTCTAACATCTGAAAAATAGTAGACCCAGGCATTATAGAGTAAACAGAAAGGAAATTATTAAACACATAAAGCTAGAAATTTTTCTAGAATTAAGAATGGTCATGAATATATATAATGAAAGAGCCCACCAATTTCCCATCACAATGAATGAAAAAAGACCCATACCAAGGTACAACACAGTGTAACTTAAAGATCCTCAGGATGAAGAGAGAAATCCTTTAGTCTTCCAGGAAAAATAATTGTTGATTGCAAATAAGCAGTGAAGAATATGAATGGCATTGAGTTTCTCAAGAGCAATTCCAGAAGCTAGAACGTGGTGGATAATAATCCTGAAGATAATGAAAATATGTATCCATGATAAAAGTATGGGCTACTATGAAAAGGAGCAGCTAGAGAACAAAAAGCATTCTTAAAAAATAAAAACATGAAGTCAGAAATAAAACATTAGTATATGGCTTGGGTATAAATATATTTGAGCAGTCATAATAGAATTGTTGAATACATTTTAATTTAGAAATATAAAGGCGGTATTAGAAGAAACAGCTAGTAAAGTTGAAAGTAGTCTCTGGAGATTAGGGAATTATGGGGTGGTATGAGACAAGAGATTGCTGTTTGGTTACAAGCCTTATAGAACAGTTTGACTTTGTGTGTGTGTGTGTGTGTGTGTGTGTGTATACATATATATAATGGTAAAATTTGATATAAATATGACTTTTAAAGGATTTTTTAAAAAAATTTTATTTATTTATTTGACAGAGAGAGAAACAGCGAGAGAGGGAACACAAGCAGGGGGAGTGGGAGAGGGAGAAGCAGGCTTCCCGCCGAGCAGGGAGCCCGATGTGGGGCTCGATCCCAGGACCCTAGGGTCATGACCGGAGCCGAAGGCAGACGCTTAACGACTGAGCCACCCAGGCGCCCCATGACTTTTAAAGCTTTTATTTATTTATTTGACAGAGCGAGACAGCGAGAGAGGGAACATAAGCAGGGTATTGGGAGAGGGAGAAGCAGGCTTCCCACTGAGCAGGGAGCCCGATGTGGGGCTCGATCCCAGGACCCTGGTATCATGACTTGAGCAGACGCTTAATGACTGAGCCACCCAGGTGCCCCTGATATAAATATGACTTTAAATGCATTTACATTTCTAACTTGTGACTCCAGGAACATCATTCCACTGCTATAATCATGAATATTTATTTATTCTTTTCTCTACCCAACTACGCACATGGTGAATGTGGGGTTTTCCTAATTTCTGAGCCTGGCTTGAGTTCTGGGGTTTGGTGGAAGGGATGGCTCTACTGTGTGTGGTGTTCATGACATTTTGAAAGCTGGAAAGCAAGAGAGATGTAACAACATGTGGGCGGGGGGAGGATGAAGACAGAGTAAGAAGACTAAAAAGTAGTGAGGACAGGGACAAGACACTCTAGGGCACTTGGAGTAGGAGAAACAAAAGATGCTCAGAGGGTTAACTTACCCATGACATCTGATGTGGTGAAGAGGAGGTTAGATTGGGTCAATCAATTTAAGTGTTGAGTGGTGGTTGGAAGAGGGGGACAGATAGGAAATAATTGTCAACTTTAAGGATGGCGTTGGAGTGGAAGAGAAAGATGTGGTGAGGTCAAAGTAGGAAGGACTAAGAGTTAGTTGTCTCAGGTAGGTAATGGATGACGAGAGATGGGCTATAAAGTCAGCACCCCAGCAGGAAAAGTAAGTTTATCAGAGTCATGCTCTCCTTTTATCCCTTACCCCTCCCGCCCAGTTTTTATTTATTGTTAACATCTATTTTTTTCAGTTGAAAGTGTTTAAATAAATGCTGACTAGAGAAGACTATGTTTTCCCTTTTCTTACTAAACCTGTTTCTTAAGTTTTGGTATTAATTTCTATCTCTATCATTTATATGAAAGTTCTTCATTGTAGTTCACTCTCACAGGGATAACTTTAAAACCTCTTAGTTTGGGAGATTCTCTGTTCAAATATTTTGCCCCTTATTGAAAGGTTTGTTTTCTTCTTATTGAGTTTTCAGAATTATTTATATTCTGGATTCCAATCCATTTGCAAATGTTTTCTCTTAATCTGTGGCTTGTCTTTTCATCTTAACAGTCTCTTTCAAAGGGAAGTTTTAAATTTGATGAAGTTTTTGTTTTTTTTTAAGATTTTATTTATTGGGGTGCCTGGGTGGCTCAGTCGTTAAGCATCTGCCTTCAGCTCAGGTCATGATCCCAGGGTCCTGAGATCGAGCCCCACATCGGGCTCCCTGCTCAGTGGGAAGCCTGCTTCTCTTTCTCCCACTCCCCCTGCTTGTGTTCCCTCTCTTGCTGTGTCTCTCTCTGTCAAATAAACAGAGAGATAGAGAGAGAGCACAAGTAGGCAGAGAGGCAGGCAGAGGGAGAGGGAGAAGCAAGGCTCCCTGCTAAGCAGGGAGCTCAATCCCAGGACCCTGGGATCATGACCTGAGCACTTAAATGGACTGAGTCACCCAGGTGCCCCAAATTTGATGAAGTTTAATGATCATTGCTATTATTATTGTTAATCTTAGTGTTATAAGAAATCTTTGCCTACCTCAGTGTAATGATGATTTTCTCCTCGTTTTTTTTTTCTAGACCCTTTGTAGTTTTACGATTTACATTTATGTCAATGACCCATTGAGAATTAATTTTTTATATGATGGAAAGTATGAATGCAGGTTTTTTGTTTTGTTTTGCTTTTGCATATAGATACACAGTTGCTTCAAGGTAATTTGTTTAAAACAGTGTCCTTTCTCCACAGAATTGCCTTTGCATCTTGGTAAAAAAATCAGTTGCTCATATAAGTATGAGTCATTTCTGGGCTTTCTGTTGAATTCCTTTGATCTATTTGTCTATGTTTAAACTCACTGTTTTTTAAATGGAATAACTAGAATTACTTTTTCTTCTCAGCTAGTTAGTTTACAATTATGGGTTACTTATATGTAAAACTTGCATTTTGGGGTCAAAAATCACAACTGAACCAAAGGAAGGGAAGAAATAAATTATGAAACTTGGTAGAGCAATGGAAAAAGATTATAATACTTTCTCTACATCAAAACCAGAATATTTTCTAAGGTTGAAGTTAAAGTGGTGTACAATAGTATGCCTTTTCAGTTGTTTGTATAAGTAATTTTACATTCTCTGTATACAACTGCATGTATGTTTCTACAAATAGGAATTCCTAGGATTTTGAGTCTGTTTACTGTTGAAACATTTTACTCTTTTTGTTTGTTTATTTTATAGGACTAAGTGTGCAGCATGGTATTTCTAGTTCTCTTCTGAGCTATTCATTCACAGACTCTTACACAGAATACAAGAGTTTTGAAGAGAGTTTAAGTAGTTTCCCATCACCTGAACTCTTCAGAGGATCAGATTATTTAGGTGAGAAAATAATCTCAACCTTTAGCTGACCCATATAGAAATTGTTCCTTTGTCCACAAATCCTCCAATGAATAATATTCCTTTTGAGGTGTGCTTGTCTTCCTCACCAAAACCTCCTTCCCCTGCCCACTACTGTATTCCATGCTCGATCATAGGACTATGCATTAAAAGCTACCAGATAAGAAAAGGATGAAGATACTAGGGGAATGCCCCAGAAATAAGCCAGTTTGATCTATAGTATCCCAGAGAACCTCACAATTTGGCTGCACCAATACTTGTAAAAAGGTATATCTGAAATGTGAAAGATGTGGTGATTACTTTCTTACTCTAACAGAACCTGGAGATTTATTCTTTGGGATGTTCTGAAACAGAGGAACTATGGATTGGAGGATACTAGGCACTGTTAATAGGAAGGATCTATGATATTTTGAAATGTTGGTCCCAAATACTCATTCCCCTGTGGTAATATTATATATCCACACCCTTACCATATCCTCGTAGTGGGTGGGGTGTACTCTCTCCCTCTTTGGCTCTGGAAAAGCAATGGAAATGTGACTTGCTTTGGGCAATAGGATACCAGTGAATGAAACAGAAGAGGATCTTTGAAATATGCCTAAATGGTTGGACTTGTCCTCTTACACTTTTAACATTGTGAGAAGAATATATCCTAATTAGCTTCTGCTTTTCCTGTGGGGACCCCAGAATGAGAACTATGGAACAGAACAGTCTCCGGCAACCCGCAGATTGCAGAGAGCTGCCCCAGCTGATCAGCAGTTTTGTAATCTGAAGCAGACCTGCCTGAGCCAACCAGTAGACACAGGAATAAGAAATAAATGTTTTCATTTTATGTCAGTGAGATTTGGGTTTATTTATTATATAGAAAAAGCCAACTGTTTCAGATACTGTACTGAATGAAGAGGGGAAACTAAATGAAGTGTACATTGTGAATTGTGGTACCTTCTCACCTAATGCTTTTTGCCATCCCAACCCAACATTCCCTTTTTCTGTTCAGCTTCTAGAATACTAGCACCCAGACTTGAACCTTTTGGGCAGGAGAATGGAAGATTCTTTCCTAACAAATCTGAAAACAACCCTAAAGAAAATATCTAATGATACTGACCTCGGTAGCCCTTCAGTGAAACTGACAAGAACACCCTACAATGAAGTTAACTTGTGACAAACCCCAACTAGGCCACAGAAATCCCACTTAGGCTTTTAGAGGTCTCTCTTAAATATGAGTAGAGAGACAAGGATCACCAGACCTCTGAGGAAAGCTTCTATTATAAAACATAGAGATCAGAACAAAGGAAAATATGGAAGTGACATCAGCAAAATGTTGGAATAAGAAGCCTGGTCCGTCCTTCCCCTGTGGACACACCAATTCAACAGTAATACGTGGACTTAACTCCTTTTGTGAGAAATCTGGAACCTAGTCAAGGAACTCTTACATCCCAGGCATGTATGAGATCAGCCACATCAAAGCCAGTAGGAAAATTCAAGACACTCTCTTACCATAATCCCTACCCATAGCACATTGCCACACAATTGGCAGGAAACCGCCAGGTCCCAGCTTCTCCCTGGGTAGGGAAAAAAAGAACTGAACTGTGTGTGAAAGGTACATTTTCTGGGAGCTTCCCAAAGGATTGGCTACTCTCATGACTGTTTCAGAGTGCTGCCTAAGGGAATGGCTTCTGTCTCATCTGTCTCAGAGTGCTGATGGGACCTGGTATATTCTAGATGACTGTTGGCCACTAACAACAAATAGGGTGTGTGAGGAAAGCTTAAGAGACTCATGGAACACAATCAAACAGAGCAATTTATACTTCATAGGAGTCCCAGAGGGAGAAGAGATGAGGGAGGGAAAGAAAGAAGGGAGGGATAAAGGAAAGAGAAGGAAGAGGGGGAAAGAGGGAGGCAGGGGGGAGAGGGGAAAGAGAAAGTGGGTAGAGGGAGGGAAAGGGAGAAAGAGAGCATGTCTGAAAGTTTACTTATAGAAATAATGGCTGCAAACTTCCCAAATCTGGGGAAGGAAATGCACATCCAGACCTAGGAGGCCCAGTGAATCTCAGAATAGGCAAGCCAAAGAAATCCACACAGGGACTCATAATCAAATTATCAAGCATCAAAGACAAAGAATTTTGAAAGCAGCAATAGAAAAGCAACTTGATATGGACAAGGGAATCTCCATTAGACTATCAATGGATTTCTCAGCAGAAACATTGCTGGCCGAAGGGAGTAGAATCATACAAAGTGATGAAAGAAAAGAAACTGTCAACCAAGAATACTATAACCAGCAACACTGTCATTTAAAAAAAAAACAATGGAGTATTATTCAGCCATAAAAAGAATAAAATCTTGCCACTTGCAAGACATGGATGGAGCTAGAGAGTATAATGCTAAGTAAAATAAGAGAAAGACAAATACCATATGATTTCACTTGTATGTGGAATTTAAGAAACAAGAGCAAAGCAGAAAAAAAAGAGAAACCATGAAACAAACTCTTTTTTTAATAAGATTTTATTTATTTGAGAGAGAGAGATAGTGAGAGATAGAACACGAGCAGGGGGGAGACGGAGAAGCAGGCTCCCCGCGGAGCAGGGAGCCCAATGAGGGCTTGATCGCAGGACCCTGGGATCATGACCTGAGCCGAAGGCAGATGCTTAACTGACTGAGCCATCCAGGTGCCCCAGAAACAAACTCTTAACTGTAGAGAACAAATTGCTGGTTACCAGAGGGGACATGGGTGTGGAATGGGTGAAATAGGTGGTAGGGATTAAGGAGTGCATGTGTCCTGATGAGCACCATGTAATTAAAATAAAAGCTTGGAGAAAAAATAAATGAAGAGATAAGGAATTTCATGTACAAAAGGTGAAGGAGTTACTCACGACTAGCCCCACCTTACAAAAAAATGGTAAAGGGAGTTCTTCAAGTTGAAACAAAGGACTAAAACAGCAACACAAAAGCATATAAAAGTATAAAACTTGCCAATAAGTTTATATACAAGTACAAAATAACTGGTATTAAAATCACTTAATTCTAGTATAAAAGTTAAAAGACTAAAGTATTAAAATAACTATAATAAAAATATGTTAATAGATACACAATATAAAAAGATGTAAATTATAACATCAGTAACAAAGTGTGTATGAAGGAAGAAATAAAAATATAGTTTTTTGGGGGGTCTGGGTGGCGGTGGCTCAGTCGGTTAAAGCGTCGGCCTTCGTCTCAGGTCATGATTCCAGGGTCCTGGGATCAAGACCTGTGTCAGGCTCCCTGCTCAGTGGGGAGCCTGCTTCTGCTCCCTCTGCTGCTCCCCCTGCTTGTGCTGTCTCACTTTCTCTCTCTAATACATAAATAAAATCTTTAAAAACTAAAAATAAATAAAAATGTAGCATTTTTGTATATGATTGAAGTTGCTAGAAGCTTAAAATAGATTGTTAAAACTATATTTTATATAAGCACCATGGTAACCACATAGAAAATACCTATAGAAGATACTCAAAAGATTGGGGCACCTGAGTGGCACAGTTGGTTAAGCATCTGACTCTCAGTTTCAGCTTAGGTCACGATCTCTGGGTCCTGAGATCGAGCCCCACATTGGGCTCTGCACTGAGCATGGAGTCTGTTTTCTCTGACCTTTGTCCCCATACGCATGCTCTCTCTCCCTCTCTCTCTCTCTCTCTCTCTCTCTCTCTCAAATAAATAAATATTTTTAAAGAAGATACACAAAAGAAAAATAGAAAGGAATAAAAGCATATCAGTATGAAAAAATCAATGAAACGAAGATGGCGAGAAAGGAAAAGGGGCAAAAGAACTCAAAATAATTAACAATATAATAATAGTCTTTCCCTATCAGTAATTACTTTAAATGTAAATGGTTTAAATTCCCCGACCAAAAGACAAAGAATGGCTGAATGGATTAAACTATACTATGCTGTTTACAAAAGACTCTTTTTACATTTCAGGACACACATAGTCTAAAAGTGGAGCAATGGGAAAAGATATTCCATGCAAATTGTAACCAAAAGAGAGCAGGAGTGGCTCTACTTATATCAGCTAGAACAGACTTTCAGTCAAAAACTATCACAAGAGACAAAGACATAATGATGAAAGGGTCAATTAATCTGGAACATATAATGATAATAAATAGGCACTCAGCATCATAATCAATACTCATAGACCTAAAGGCAGAAATAGGCATCATGTTGAATGTTCCTACTACAGTAAAATAAAAAATTAAAAAGTAAGAAAAGGAACCATGCAGAAATAGAAACACAAGGATTAAAAAATGTTGAAAAAATAGTCTTATTGACATAAAATATATAGTGTCCATTAAATAAAAATAGGGTACTATAAAAAGCAATATTCCAATAACATGCAATAGCAGTGAAAAACTCGGTAGAAGGATTAGAAGTTAGGGTTGAGAAAAGAGGAGGAAAACAAAGAAAAAAGGTTGCAATTTAGAGGGAAAAAAATCAGAGGAAGAGTGTATGAAATCCAATATCAAATAAAAGGAGTTTCAGACAAAGATAATGGAAGAAACAAAAGGAAGAAAATAATCAATGTTATAATTCAAGAGCATGTCCTAGAGCTAGAGTATGATGTCTGTGTTAAAAGGGCCATAGTGTGCCTAGCACAGTAGATGAAAAACACCAAGATAGAGCATTATGCAACTTTAGAACACGAGAGAAAGAAATAAAGAATGGGTTTATAAAATTTGATAGAGTTTGTGATTAAATAGATGAAAAATACAGAGAAAATTAAAACAGAAGAAACTTATTGACTCCAGGTAGGACAAGTGGTTGTCATAGTATACCACAAGAGTAAATAGCATTTTTATAGCAATTTATTATCATAATGTCTACACTGGATATTGATCTAACTACATATGCTAATATAATGATATCAAGACAATGGGAATTGTGGGAAAGGTGGGGACAGGGATGTAAGAGAGAATAACCTCATTCTTCCATAGTGGGAAGTCAATGGAAAGCTTAAAACTGACATCAAGTGATAATAGTATGTTATTTAGTGATATGATATTTAATGGGACCTAGGTATAATTTATACATTATTATTAAATTATACAATATTATATGTATATTATTGTATACATATATTAAATGTATACAATATTATACAATATTAAGAGGAAACCCCTGGGTATGCTGTCTGTCCCTTAAGTCAATAATCTTTATGGGGCAAAAATTTCTGAAAGAGAGTAGGTTAGAGCACTGAAATAGGCCAAAAAGTATTTATTATCCTGATACCATCAAGTCTTGTCTTTTTTTATCTGTCTTACTCAAAATCTTTAATTACCACAGCTTGGTATGGGGACCTAAGCTGGTATGGGGACCTAAATTGGGGCTGGGGAGGTAACCTACTACTTATGTGCTGTTCAAAGTTATGTGCCATTTCCTCCTGCTGTTTTAGATTGGGAATGTCCCAAGTTGGAAGAACACATGCGATGCAAAAATTCCACTCTTCTGGATACCAGTAAAGCAGTATCAATAGAGAAGGTACCACAGTTTTCAAACGTCTCTGCAATTTTAGGTGAGTTTTCACATTCTTTTTTCTCATGTCACAGGGGAAACCCCTCATCTATGTTGGAAAACAAAGTAATTTTTTTAACGATTTATAAGCTAAATTCATCAATTAGGATTACCTTTGGCTACAAATAATATCTGACTAGTAGTAGCTTAAGCACATATGGGTCTCTTTTATAACTTATTTTGAACTAATTTTAGACTTGCATAAAAGATACAAAAATAATGCAGAGAATTCCTATATATCTCTCACCCAACTTTCCCTAATGCTGTCTTATATAACATTAGTACAATGATCAGAATCAGAAAATTAACAATAACATAAAATTACTAATGAAACTACAGACTTTATTCACATTTCACCAGTTTTTCCACCAGTCTCTTTTCTTGTGTTTCAGGATCCAACATTGCATGTGATTGTTATTTCTCCTTTAATCTACTATAGTCTATAACAGTTTCTCAGTCTTTCTTTCTTTGTCTTTCATAGTCTTGATACTTTTGAAGATTACTGATCAGTTGTTTTATAGAACATCCCTCAATTTGAATTTGTCTAATGTTTTCTCATGATTGGAATGAATTTATTCAATTTTTTAAAGAATGATGCAGAAATGATGTTATGCACTTTTTAGTACATTGTATGAAGTTCTTGATGTCAGATATCTTATTATTGGTGATATTAAACTTCCTTGTTTGATTAACTTAGTGTCTGTGGTTTTCTGCATGGTTAAGTTACTAGTTTCCCTTTGTGTTTCTAAATATATAGAAAAGATAGTTTGAGACCCTGTAAATCCTGTTTCTCCTCAAACTTTCATCACTGATATTAGTAGTCATCAGAAGAATTTGACTGTGATATTTATTACTCTGGTGTTCATCTAATGGTAATTTTCTATTTCATACTTTGCTGCTACATTTACTAATTGGAATTCTACTGTAAAAGAACTATCTCTTTTCTGCCACTTATTTATTCAGTTGTTTATATCAGTATGAAGCCATGAATATTTATATTATGTGTTAAGCAAGTCTTAGTAAATTTAAGAAGGTCGAAATCATACCATGCATCTTTCCTGACCACAACAGTATAAAACTGAAATGAGTCACAAGAAAAAAAACTGGAAGAAAACCCAAAAACACGTGGAGACTAAACAGTATAATACAAAACAACCAATGGGTCAACAAAAAAATCAAAGGGGAAATAAAAAATTACATGGAGACACAAGAAAATGAAAACATAATGGTCTTAAATTTTTAAGACAGGCAGTTCTAAAAGTGAAATATATAGTGATAGAGACCTCAAGAAACCTCAAGAAACAAGAAAAAGCTCAAATAATTATCTACCTTAAACCTAAAATAACTAGAAAAAGAACAAACAAAGCCCAAGGTGAGTAGAAAGAAGGAAAAAATAAAGTTCAGAGCAGAAATAAATGTTATAGAGACTAAAACAAAAACAAAAAACAATAGAACAGATCAATGAAAGCAGGAGCTTGTTCTTTTGAAAAGAAACAAAATTGATATGCCCTTAGCCAGATTCATCAAGAAAAAAAGAGAAATTACCCAAATAAATATAACCAGAAATGAAAGACAAGTAATACTTGACTTCAGAAATATAAAAGATTATAAGAGAATAATATGAAAAATTATGCCAAAAAATTGGACATCCTAGAAGAAATGGGTGAATTACTAGAAACATACAATCTTCCAAACTGAATCAGGAAGAAATAGAAAATCTTAACAGACCAATTACTGTAACAGATTGAATCAGTACTTAAAAAACTACCAAAAAATAAAAGTCTAGGGCCAGATGATTCACAGGTGACTTCTACCCAGCATTTAAAAAAGAGTTAATACTTATTCTTCCCAAACTCTTCCAAAAAATAGGAGAGGAAGAAAAGCTTCCAAATTCATCCCACAAGGCCAATATTACCATGATACCAAACCAGACAAATACACACACACATGAAGGAAAGAAGGAAGGAAGGAAGGAAGGAAGGAAAAGAAAGAAAGAGAGAGAGAGAGAGAAAGAAAGAAATAAAGAAAAAGAAAGAAAGAATAGAAAAGAAGAGAAAGAGAAAGGAAGAAAGAAAGAAAGGAAGAAAGAAAGAAGGAAGGAAGGAAGAAAGAAAAAGAAAGAAAGAAAGAAAGAAAGAAAGAAAGAAAGAAAGAAAGAAAGAAA